AGGTACCCGCTGAGCTGAACGGGGTATTGGAAATAGCAGCCAGCTCAGCACATCCATGGGGATCTCACCTCACACTCACTAGGATCTGCAACAAGCAGCACAAGCCAGGGGTATTGATGGAAAAGATAGAGGTAATTAAATCCAACTCAGACAAGTTTTGAAATAAATCACCCCCAGGCGCGGCTGCCACCCATCGCAGTGGCGACAGGAGCAGGTTTGCACGCGGGCGCATGTTTCATCACACGGTGTCATTGCATGTGTGCTCGGGACGTCGTGCTAATTATTTTAGGCTGATATTGTATCCAAGATGTATTTCACTGTGAGAATCATCAATAAAAGTGACTTTGAATACTGAGTTTTGGAAATTTTCAGTGGTTCCTGCGCCTAAGGGAAAAGGAGGAGCCTGGTTTTCACACGGTCCCTTCTCGGCTCCAAGCCAGAACCGCGGGCACTTCCACTCGTCTCGTGCTCTCCCCATGTGAAAACACCTGAAAACACCCCAAAACACCCAAAGCCACTCGCCGTGACCTCCAGAGCAGGCACAGCGACGAGCGGGGCTGCAAGCCCAAGCAAATCCGCTTTTCCCACCCTGCAGAGGAGCCGGGAGCGATGCAATCTCCCGGAGTCGCTCGCTGTGACCTCCAGCGCAGGCACAGTGACGAACGGGGCTGCAAGCCCAAGCAAATCCACTTTTCCCACGCTGCGGAGGAGCCGGGAGCGATGCAATCTCCCGCATGCAGCCCCTGTGCCCGTCTCACCTGCTCTCAGTGCCGCTCTTAGCCCCCAGTTTCTGCATTGCAGCTCGGGCTTGTGCCCCCTGCAAGGCCCCGCAGCCGAATCCCGCAGCCACATCTGCATTTACGGGGATTTTCCTCCCCTGCCACCAAGCCAAGTGGAGAAAGATCAAATGGCTAAACCAGAATTCTCTTGCTGCAAAGTAGAAACACTCACAATCCTGTTTCTGCTTGTTTTAAAACCAAGACTACCTGTTCTGAGCAACTTCCCCTTTTTATTCAGGTTTAAAAGCTTTCTAACGCCTTTTTCCCCAGTAGCAGTTATAGCACCACTAGAGCTGAAAAAAGTAATAAATAAACAAATAAATAAACTCCAAAAAACTTGTTTGGATTGCCCTGCCACAGAGAACTGTGTCTTGGGGAATAGCTTCATTTCTTGTGAGACACCAGAATCCTCAGGTAAATAGTCAAAGCCTGGGAAAGTAACTTCCTGAAAGGCAACACCCCACAAAATTGCCAGCTGTCCAAAAAAGTGAAACATCATCATGATAACACGAAACAATCCCACAACGATTTGCAGCCAGAGATTGCACCCGTCCTGAGCTCAGATAATGTAAGGATAAAGAATCTGGAAAGAGAACGTGCATGGGTACCTGTGTATATGCACCTTAGAGACAGGCACATATAAATTTAAAGGTGATTCCTGGGCTATTACAAGAAAGGAGAAGAGAATGAATGAATAATAAAGTGGAAAAAAATAATCAAAAAGCAAGTAATGCAGTTAATTACAATTTTATTGCAGCACACCCTGAGGTAAAGATCAGAAGGAAACGGCCTTGTGATTTTCCCATAGTTGGGGATGAATAAATCCTAGCTAATTTGTTGCATCTCTTTGTAAAGCAGTTTCCGCTTGCAAATAAAGCCGGCACCCTGCGAATTTCCAGCCAGTTTGGCGGGGGCAGCGCAGAGGAACGGAGCTTGCAGGGGAGCAGCTGCCTCTTGGCCCCGCCAGCGCCGGAGCTACTTCTGCTTCGGGCACTGCTGCTGTTGCTGCTGCTGCGGGATGCTCTTCACGGGACATTTCGCTTGTCCCTTTGGGGCCTGGCTCTGCTCCACGCTCTTGGGAAGACACTTCTCCTGGCACTGCGGGGGTATGTGCTGCTGCTGCTTCTGCTGGTGGGAAGACATTGCTGCTAAAGCTGCAAGGAAACCAAGGTGCCAGTTAGGTTGCTTTTCAGCCTTACACAATTCTCTCCTTTTAGCGTTTCAGCCTATCTTTTTTTAGCCTTGACTTCCAAAGTTAACTCTACCAGGGCAGGCATGAAAGCTGCTGGCAATGGTGCAAGCAGAGCAGAAAGCCAGGGAGAGCTCAGGATTGCAAATGGTTTGAAAGAGGAAAAGAGCTCGAGAACGATCCCTCCATCGCGAGCCCCAGAACAGGACGGTGTCACCCACCGCTATTGGCACCCCGGGGACCACAGCAAGAGGCCTGTGGGTGCCCAATGGGGCTAAAGGAGCTGCCAGCGGATGGTCACCCAAGAGCCAGCAGGTCCTCGAGGCTCTGGGAGCCTCTGGATGACCAAAATGAGAAGCAATTAAACAAGGGAAGAACCCACCGCAGGGGGAAAGGGCTGCAGTTGCTGCTGGAGAAACGCAAGAGGGAGAAATCGCCCCCAGAGCAGAGTCCCAAACCGCCCCCCGTGCGTCAAACCCGTGCGGAAAGACTCACCTGGCGCCTCTGGCCGCGGGCAGGAGGGAAGGAGAAGCCGCCGGGATTCAGGAGCCTCCTGAAGGGAAGGCTTTTATACCCTTTCGGAAGGCTGCCCCGGCAGCCGATGACGACAGATTAACTTGATGAACAGACTCTTTAAAACGAAACATTTTATATCACCAACAAAATACAAAGTTGTCCCCTTATTTTAAGCATCCTTTTCCTTACCTTTGCTTTTCATTTCCCTCTGAAGAAACTAAAGGTTTCTGTTCACAAACACAGGGTTTGGTTTGTTGGCATTGCGGCAGGATTTCTTTTCCTTTCAGGTAAACCCATACCCAATCCCCTTGAAGCTTTTCCAAGGGAGAAGGAAAACAGTTCAAAACAAGGCACTACCTCCAGCTCCAATGGCAAGGGCCATCCCTGAGCCCTCCTCAATGCTGTGCCCGAGGGGGTTACATTTGGCCCCAAGGGGCTTGATTTGGTCCATAAACTACAGCCTCTTCTCCATTATAACCACAGGACCCACAGAGGAACCATGGACATAACTTCTGGTAGGCAAAGGAGAGCAGAAGAGGCTCATAGACAGGAGAGGAAGAGGAGGAAAAGGCAAAAACTACCACCCATCTTTGCACAACCCACCCTTGTCTGACCAGCCAGAGGTCTTAGTGACCCTGGGGTTAATGAGGACCAGGTTGGGCTAACTGGCTGCAGATAGGCAGACCTTAGCACTGCCCATGATCAACCGCAGCTGTGTAGGACAACAGGGTGTCAGGGCTTTTGCAACTCGCTCTCCCATAGGCACGGGAGCGATGAGCACTGCTCGGCCGGCCGCCTCTGCCGCTTCCTCTGCGGCTTTTGGAGCTTCCCGGTGGTGTCAACCATGGCTGCGAGTGGTGCCGTGCCCATGGAGCAGGAGCCGTGGCCCTCAGGACTGGTGGAGCCGGGTGGTGGAGACCCACCATGGGTGTCTCATCCCAGATGCGCCTCGTTAGCCACCGCACGTGGCCTCCTGACCAAGGCTGCTCCCACACCTGATGGTGGGCACCGATGCTGAGGAGCAGCCGGTGTCCGTGACGTTGTGGATGGCAGGATCCACCGGTGAACTCCCAAAGGTTTGGGCTCCCTGATAGGAATCGGGGATGGATGTTCCCAGACTTCCCCTCTATATCCTTGCTGCTCCATAGCTGTCTAGCCCCCCTACTCTGTTTTGCTGAACCAAAATGCACATTTGGTGTAAAATCTCCATGCCTGGCCCAGGTGCACCTAACGCCTGCGCCTGTCGTTGATATCATCACCCTCGTGTGTTGACAGGAATCGCACAAAGAGGAATCTGCTGCAAAGCTACCCTTGTGCCCACGGGTTCATCGCGGGCTGATTTGGTAACAGTGTTTACACACACCTAAATATAACTCTTTTCTGTTGGAGATTAATCGCCCTCCACCCTTGCCTTAATGACACCGTAGGTGGAGAGCAATGCTCTGCATCCAGACACGGAGCCTGCACGGGAGACGGGTGGGAGCCGCGACAACAGGGCAGGGAACACCGGGCTCCAGACAAGGGCCTCCCTCTCCGGCCAGAATCCAAACGGAGACAATAGATTTGCAATAGAATTAAAACACGATTGCACCAGGCAGACTAATGAGCCTGAAATGCCAAGTGCTCCGTGGGTCGCGGCGCCGGCGTCGCCCCCGCGCTGACGGGAGCAGATAGGAGCTGCAGCCAGACCTGCCCGGAGCCGCGCGAGGTGTCGACAGCAAAACCGGGGACAACGCTGCACCCTGGTCCCCGCGGGGGACCTGCCCCTGGACCACGAAGAGGTTCCTCTCCGGAAGCCAAACCTCACTCTCTGTTCCCCCTGGGCGAGGATTATGGGGAAAGGGCATCAAAAACACCACTTGGTCTCCAGCTGATTATTTTTTTTAAGAAATCATTAAAAAAAAAACAGTAAGAATGCTTCAACAATTTCTCCTCTGCATTTGGGCTTTTCTTCTACTTAGTTTTACCTTTTACTTAGCGATATATCTATTACTATCATTATTTTCCCGTAGGACAAAACTCACTGTTCAGTATCTCTTAAAAAGTACTGGCCACATCCTGTTTACAGCGCTGGAAAGCATCGCTCCCCTCTAGGATGTGTTATAGGCATGAAGCCTTTGCAACCATACCAGATTCTTCAGAGGAAAACTAGAGGAAGGAGACCTTGAACCTGAAGACGTAGGAACAGAGAGAAGGACAAATGACAAGAGGACAGAAAATGCCATCAATGCTCATTTTTTATTGCTACGCATACGCATGAAAGGCAAGAGGAGGGTTAAAGAGTACAAAGGCAGAGCTCTTCCAAGCTGGCACCACTGCCATGGTGGAGCATCTCCTCAGGACACCCAGGACCGTGTTGGCCAACTGCAGCTCCCAAGGAGAAGAGGTGCCAAGAAAGCAGTGCAAGGGGCAACATAGGAAGCCAAGGCTGGAAACATTCGGAGCAGCATTTCTAAAGCAAGGAGAGCAAGCGGAGGCCACGAGGCGCTGTTTGCAAGGCCCACACGCTGGGGTGATCAGCAGGGCCGGGAGCGGGTCTCCTGGCACACGACCTTGCACTTCTCTGGGCACTTGGTGGCACAGACCTCCACGCACTTGGTCTGGCAGGGCTCAACGCACTGGGTGGTGCAGCACGTGGTGGCACAGGGCTTCGCGCAGACCTCCACGCAGGTTTGGGGACAGACCTCCACGCACTTGGTCTGGCAGGGCTCCACGCACTGGGTGGTGCAGCACGTGGTGGCACAGGGCTTCACACAGGGCTTCGCGCAGACCTCCACGCAGGTCTGGGGACAGACCTCCACGCACTGGGTCTGGCAGGGCTCGGCGCACTGCGTGGTGCAGCACGTGGTGGTGCACTGGGTGCCGCAGGGCTCGGCGCACGTGGTGGTGCAGCACGTGGTGGTGCACTGGGTCTGGCAGGGCTCGGGGCAGGG